GCAGGGGAGCGTGTACACCAGGGGAGAGTGCAGGGGAGCGTGCATACCAGGAAAGTGCCGGGGTGACACGGGGCAGGGGAGCGTGTACACCAGGGAAGTGCAGGGGTGACACGGGGCAGGGGAGTGTGTACACCAGGGGAGGGCAGGGGAGCATGCACACCGGGGGAGAGTGCAGGGGTGACATGGGGCAGGGGAGTTTGCACACCGGGGGAGAGTGCAGGGGCGACACGGGGCAGGGGAGTGTGCACACCAGGGGAGTGCAGGGGTGACACGGGGCAGGGGAGTGTGCACACCAGAGTAGGGTGCAGTCCGCTAGGCAGACACCTACGGCCTACTCAGGAAAGGGGCCAGGCCATGGATGCCCGGACGGGCTGCAGCCTGTCGTACCTCTGCAGCGCTGCAAAAACACCCACGGATCCCTCCAGAGCTGCGGTGTTTGTTCCTGGAAACCTCGACCCAGAGGCCTCAAATGGGTGCCCCTCTGATGTGCCTTGTTTCGCCCATGTAAACTTTTAATCTTTAAAAGTGTGTTGCTCATAATGAAAAATGAGGATTCTCCAGGTGCTTTTGAAAAACCAGGAGACCTGTCCCGGGGCTGCCCTACACGGGCCGTGTGGCCAGTGCCGCCCTCTGCCGTCCTTTAAGGCCAGCTGACGCCCTGCCTGGCCCGAAGCCTCTGGGTTCACAGACACCACCAGCCGCGAGCACCCCAACACCAGGCAAAGAGGGAGCCTGGCCAGGGTGACACTGCTCTCTCCTGGCTGTCACGTGGACTTGCTGGCAAGCCCAGGACACGAGCTGAGCGCAGACAGCTTACCCCAGACCGTTTACACGCAAACCAATTTCATGCATTTTCTTTACCTCACGTTGCATCCGTGAGCATTGTCAGTCGCGCTCAAATTAAGAAGTGAAAGCCTCATCCTGGACCAGCCTAACATCCACAAGCCACCAGACTCATGATGGGGACAAGCTGAATTTTAGGGCCCCTGGGCTCGCAGGCGGACCTCAGGTGATGCCCCACAGTCACAGCGACAGCGCCACCGTGAGGCCAGCATGCCTCTGCACCCCACGGCGAGCTGACGCTGAGGCCTGTCGCCAGGAGGAGGTTTAAGACAAATGCAAGACAGAGCAAGCTTTCGGATCCCATGCACAGCAGTGACTGCAACTGTGTAAAACAGTCTCTACAAACGGAAGAAAGGACGAAGAGCACGTCTGTCGGAGCAGGAGCTATCTAGGACTGCGATCCCCACCCCCGGGCTGCAGACCACCACCCGTCTGCGGCCTGTTAGGAGCCGGGCCACAGAGCAGGAGGTGAGCAGCGGTCGAGCGAAGCTTCGTCTGTATTTACAGGCGCCTCGCGTCACTGCGTAAGCTCCACCTCCTGTCAGATGGCGGGTGCGGGGGGCACTAGATTCTCCCAGGAGCACGAGCCCTACCGTAAGCCGTGCGTGCGAGGGATCTGGGTTGCGGCTCCTCGTGAGAATCTGACGCCTGATGATCTGGGGTGGAGCTGAGGCGGTGATGCTAGCGCCGGGGAGCGGCTGCAGACACAGATTATCATCGGCAGAGACGTCTGCACAATAAATGGAACGCGCCTGAATCACCCCCAAACCATCCCCAACCCCGCTCCGGGGACAAACTGTCTCCCACGAAACCAGTCCCTGGTGCCACAAAGGCTGGGGACTACTGCTCTAGGACAACTGGCACTCAACAAATATTCGTAGAACGACACTAATTTACAAAACAAGAGAAGTGTGATGGTGTCGCGAAGCACAGCCGCGTCTGGTACCTCAGTTTCCGGCTTTCTTTAAGTGCGGATACTAAGACTGCACGCACGTGCTGGGACACGTGCACGTGCTGACCCAGGTCCTGACGCCTTCCCTCGACGCACCCACCGTGTGGCCAGCGCCCCCTGACAGTGAGTAAAACGAGCGAGCCCCGTCCACGAGCAGCTCACGAACGCCGGGATGCGGACAGAGGCAGAGACAGAGCAAGTGGCCTCAGGTCAGAGGCTCTGGACGGCGAAGCAGGGAGGGCGGGAGCGGAGTAGCCAGCGACGCGGCGGGTCAGCAGCAGTGTGGCCGGGGCGTGAGAAGTGGGGCGGGTGTGAGGTGAATGTGAGGAGTGAGTATGAGAGCAGGTACGAGGACTGAGTGCGAGGCAGGTGTGAGGAACGAGTGAGGGGGAGTGTGAGGAGAGTGTGAGGAGTGTGAGGAGAGTATCAGGAGTGTGAGGTGTGAGGCAAGTGTGAGTGTAAGGAGTGTGAGGTGTGAGGTGAGGAGTGTCAGGTGTGAAGCGAGTATGAGGAATGTCAGGTGAGTGTGAGGATTATGAGGAACGTGAGTATGAGAGTGTGAGGAGTATGAGTGTGAGGTGAGTGTGAGGCGAGTGAGAAGTGTGAGGCAAGTGTGAGTATGAGGAGTGTGAGTGAGCGTGAGGTGACTGTGAGGAGTATGAGGAGTGTGAGGTGAGTGTGAGGAGAGTGTGAGGTGAGTGTGAGGTGT